AAAAAAAAATAAAAGCATAAGTTTAGAAGGTTATAAGTTTTGCAGCGCGATGAAATGAAACTAGCAGCAAATGAAAATCACTAGGAGAGAACAGAAGCAGGCCCTCGATATGCAGTCAGAATTGAAGCCTAATTCAAACCTGTGTTACATAGTTTTGAACGAAAGAAGATCGAGGGTACGACGGATTCAACGTGCTTGTCAAGTAGCCTTCAGCAACTAGAGCTTGCTCCCATTTGGACAAAATTTCAGATACATAACGTTGCTTAAGCCTACAGTTTTGCAAAACTTCCTTTCTATTCTCACTTTCTTCAACTTTACAAATCACATCGTTAGTGTAACTGACAGCACGTTCCGCACCGGTAGCCTGATGTTTCAATACCGTAGTCTAATAGTTAATGTTTTTTGTACTTTTACGGTTTTTACTGTTTAACTCTTTTACTTCCATAATTGGCGGTAAAGTTTCAAACTTGAATAACCTGATTTTATCCACTGCAATTTTAATCTTATAAAAAGTTCAGTGCAGCTATTCTTAACTGGTATAGCGTAATCAAGTATCTTTTTTAATGGTTCACTTTAACAAGTATATATTTAATTCTTTACCATTTTTTATACTATTATGTATGACACTTAATTAAATTATTTCTGAAAAATGTTACCTGCCCCAGTGTCTGATCTAATCGTCGACGTACACCTTTTAGCTGAACTTCAACTTCTTCCTCTTTTTCTCCATCGATTACAAAAACTTCTCGCAACGTTTCAGTGAGCAGACGACATGAGTAACCAATGTTAATTGCTGTTTCCTATACAGGATTTTTGAATATTGACAGTTTTATAAAATTATTTTTTTTTTATTTGTTAAAGTCAACTTTCTCGTGTTACCCCCTGTAATCAGAGCCCTTAGAAGCAATTTTAATGAATAATAAGTACTTGTTTGTCGCCAGTCAAAACCCAGATTTTAATGTTGGCTTCTGTCAACTTTGCAATTGTTTCTGGCACGCCATCTTGCAACTTGTCTTCAATTGCCGTTGCTCCTAACAAGATCATGTTCTGCTCAATTTCTTCGTAAACTGCATCTAGTTTTTTTTGCCTGTTTTCAATTGCCACAGCAGCTTCTTTGTATTTCATCTAAAAAAGTTTTAAAAATAGTTTAGCACAAACTTTAGAAACTTATTAAATCACTTTTTTTTTTTAATACAAACCTGCCACAGAGCAAAATAGTCAGAATCTATTTCCTTGTAAGCCACACATAAGGTTCTCAAACCGTCGCCTGCAAAACGATCGAGATGTGCGGCAGTTGCGTCCCAAAGTAGTTCGCATGTTTTAAGTGACAATCTGTATTGCAAATAAAAATGATGCTTCTTTTCATGTCAGAACATTTAAAACTCCAAATCTTTGCTTTATTATTAAATTTAAGTACTGTGTCAGAAAGGAGCTAAGCAGATATAATCTTTTTGTTATTCTTGTACTCTTTAAAAGTGTTTATTCCAAAACAATTCAGGTTGGCTTCTGTGAAAAGAAGGTTGAGTACCTTTACAGAGAAGAAGCTCACACGCGACACGCGGCTTGTAAGGTTTCTGATTCGTTTTGTGTCACTTATATATTGGGACCGACTTTTCTCTCTCTGTCAGTCGTTCCATCGATTTTGTGTAAGAAAATTTATAGAATTGTAAGAAAAACTGATACTTTTGATAACAGCAAAGTTTTTATGACTTTGTATACCAAGAGTCCTAAAAAGAGCGTCTGCGTTAATGCAGACAATTTGAAATTCTAACTTGTTGCTACAAAACTATGATCATTGAATCAAAGAGACTGTTTGAAAAGACAACGTATTGAGAATGATTTGTGAAAAAAGTAACCAAAAAAGCTGGAAATGAAGTACAACAAAAAAGAAGTTACAGTGAAAACCTGGAAACTGTTTTTTTTTTTGTTGGCACTGATGAGGCTGTTGAAATATAAACAAAACCACTTTACGCTTGTTTATTCGGATTTACTTTTACCATAAGCGGTATCGGCTCTTAATCCATTTTTTTTCACGTGTAAGAATAATGAGGCTCCGAGATTCGCTGACCAGCTTAGAACTAATTAAAGTTAACAGAAGTAAGAAAAAACACTATTGGAATTTGGGAGAAAATAAGCTAGCTGAAAGCATCAGTAAGAAGGAAGAAATTGTCAGAAAAAGTTGAATAAGTGGTAGTTGTATAAATAATCACATAAATTTACTTGTAGATGTATTACTCGCAAAAACTTGGAAAAAAGTCAAGGTTAAGATTTCTGAACAAAAAAAGTAGGTGGTTTTTTCTTGATATATTTTTGACAAAATTCATTAAAGTACAAAACAGGTGTTTAAACTGTTTAAACTTTCATATTTTTAGAGCTTAATCGATATGTCGACGTGTGAAAAACTGCATAAAAGTTTAGCTAAGAGGTTGGAAAAAAATATTTTTGAATGCAGTAGTGAGATGAGTTAGTTATTTAATAATGACTTTTAGAAGTGCTTTGAACGACTTGAAGTCACGCTGAAGAAGAGGAGTGAAAGTGGTCAAAATAAATGAAATGAGCTCAGTTAGTGAAAGGTATCACAAGTAAAGCAAAATCAATAACGGATTTTGAAGAAGATAGAAATAGGTACTAAGAACTGTTTTGTTATGCTTGCTGAGCACTGCAGTGCGGTAACTGTGTCACCTCTCAGCAGACTTGTTTTATTAAAGAGTAGAATAATTTTATACTTGCATCAAGAGTATGGGAGGTTAGACAGTTTGTTGTAGGAGTGCATCAAATTGATGATTAACTACTTACTAAATTTTGGTATTTGTTAGATGGAAGCAACTACTGCAAAAATTTATTTCAGCAAGAAATAAAAATGTCAAAAAATGTGATCCGGATTATACGAGAGGGGAATCAGAATCTTGTGAAAGAGGATGTCTAAAAGAGGAAATAGAGATCACAATCAACAAAAGTTAATAGCTGAACTTTATCAAAGAAAGAAACATGTCGCCAAAGGCAGGCACAGAGAAAAAGATGTCATAAATTTCTATGTTGTTTGTAAGTGTTTCAAATGAAGAAATCAAAAACAAATTATAAGATCAAATATATTTTTGACTACCCGAATTGAAAAAAAATAAAAATTAAAAATAAAGTCGAAAAGAGTACACCAAACAACAACCTGCAAACCAGTTTGGAACTTCCATTTTATTTTTTGTATCATACTTTATTTGCACTTCCATCACCGTTTTTTCGCTTTTGTTTACTTTATTTGTTTAAAAACTTGTTTCATCATAAATATTTTGCTGTTATGCAGAATAACCAAAAATTCGAATGTTTCAAATTAACTTATAAGCACTTTCCAAAATCCTGGTTAAAAAACCTAGAAATCTTTGCAATTTCTCCTGATGTATTAGTCTCCTTTACAATTCTGTACAGTATTATAAAGTTGGAATGAAACCAGTGACAGAGAGAGGTAAATGGGCTGTCCAGCCCAATAACTATTAGTAGCCAATCAGGGAGCTAACTAGCCGCGAGTTTCGTTTGGGCTCGTTTTGATGTAAAATTTTGAAATCGAATGCACAAAGGAAGCTTTTTGTTAATTTTGTGTTTTCAAGAACAATTAGCATTAATTCACTAGTTTTTTTTTTTTTTTTTGAGACTTCCAGTAATTTCAAAATTTACAATGCTTTTGAAAACTTATATGGCTGTGGATCTAGAGGACTTTGAAACAACAAGCGGGAAAGCGAACATGCCTTTCTTTGATTATTGTATCAGCTCCCTTACAATACAGAGTAATTTCCCCTTGCTTGTTTTTGACAATTACCGACATGCGTTTCCGAACATTGTTGAAATCCAAAATACATAATAAGTCGTATTTCTATAAAAGCTCTCTCTGAATGGCATCACAACATTTGGTACAGTTAAAAATTAAGAATTTGACTTAGAACTCACCTCTTCCACTCCGTTAACTTCTATTGTTATAGTGTTTGGTGTTCTCGATTTAAAAACATATCCGAAATTTCGTGCCGCCGACGTCAACGCTGCCTCATCGGGACTCTGCGCTTGATACTCCAGTCGTCCATCTTTCCGCTCTGGCATTACTGTGTGACACAAAGCTAGTAAGCGCCAGAATTCTACGACCTATACGGTAAATTTTTAAATCAATCAAAAGAAAAGTGAATTTTTTGACAGTTCTCGTGTATTTCAACAGAAAACTTAATAAAAGAATTTAGGATACAGATATTGACGAAAGAATACTGAAAACTAGCCTCTTTTTTTTTCTTCCTCGTATCATCTAGAAGAGTACGGTCGTAAAACTTGAACTTAGGTTCGAACCACTTATTAGCCGAAAAGTTTATAGCCGAAATTTTCTGAAAGTTAGCTGTCTTTTTAATGTGTTACGTATTTATTCTTACTTATTATTTGAAGACAAAAAAAGCTTTTTGGTGATTGTAAAAAATGCTACATTATTTCATTTCAGCGTACCCATTATTAAGCATTTTTTACCGCCTACTGCGTTTTTTAAGTGTAGGTTTTTAAATGTAGGGTTTTCGATCTCACCTGGCTCATTCTTAACAGCATTAGATTTTCCTATCTCGGAGTTTCAAAATCCACTTTCTTTTAAGTTTTAAACAAGTTGTAAAATCCTAATATGTACTAAAACTAAGGAGTCGCCACCCGGCTGATTACTATATAAAAGTTTAGAGAATTTATTGTTGTCTGTTATGCTCTGGTTTCTTATTATTTTCTGACTTATCTGTCACGTATTTTCTCTCTTGGACTTATTTCATGGTTTCATTTTTTTTCTGATATTCAGCTTTGTATCATGCGATAAATTTTATGACAGTAAAAACAATTACTGCAAACAGTTTGACTACCCAATTTCAAGACTGAGATCAATAAAAAGGTGCTGAGAATCAAAACTGATTTCGCATGGCGGGCAGCAAATGGCTCGTGGGTTTTGTTGACAATGGACCCTCTGTCACCAAAGAAGAAAAGCAAGGAGGTTTCAACGAAGCAACGCCAATGGCATTCTCATTGTTTTCATGGATAGTGATCACGTTCCGTAACTATGTGAATTATGTTCAGTTTCCCTGGAGGCTAGTATTTATTGTCTTGGGGCTATTTCTGTCGCTGAGATAGTATACACCCTAACTGCTTCTAACCAAAAATGGTCCTAAATTCATTTTCAAAGTTGTTTTCATAACTGCTAGTCACTTTCTTTCCAAGTAACTGTTGACTTAAACAGCTTTGTTTATTTAATCAAAAACGTTTAGTAGACTATTATTTTGAACACATTAGAGAATTCAGAGGCAAGTAAGTTCTTGTTCATAACGGTGAATCTACTTTTGAATTCATGGTTGAATACCTTTTTCTTGCTCAGTGAACAGTGTTGTGAGAAACGTGGAAGTTTGATGCTAATAAATCAGTAGCAGAGAGATGACAGTGCTTTTAGACTGAACTTTAGACACCGAGATAGTAAAGCACGCTGAATATCCTGCTTTTTAAGAAAATAATTGGTGATTTGCTCATTCAATAATTACGCTCTTTTTTAGCAAATATTTTGTTATTTGTTTTTTTACAGTTAAGGAACCTCCTTCTAAAACCAGTCTTTAAGGAAGTAGAATTTGCTTCACGTAGTGCTTTGATTAAAATCAGTTTTTGCAGAGATATAGATGAGTGTCGGAGCATCAGACTTCTATAATTGGGAAAAACATAGTTACAGAAACTGATAGAAGAAGGTGTTTTTTGAAAGATGCTACCATCATAGTTCTAAACATAAACTTTTGTAAGTTTTTAGAGCTGTCAAGTGTTACTTTGGCAAAGCTGTTGTCTTTACAATACAAAGCCTCTCTTTTGATAATCTACTACCAATAATTCAACAGCGGATTATTTGATGAAGTAATTGTGAGAAAAACGTCGTGACTTTACAGTGAAGAAAAAAACAGCAGAGTTCTGCAGCAATTCCTCTTCAAACGCTTATTTAGAACTGTTCTTACAGGCCAGTGTTAAGGTTAATTTTTTGGGGTTTTTAGAAACACTGTGGAGGGTCAAAAAAAATTAAAATTCAAAAATAAATAAATGAAGATCTTTTTAGAACGTATACATAAATAAATAAATAAGTAAATAAGAAAATAAATAAATCTAATTATATTTACACATGATGCGAAATTTACTAGACTGCTACCTAGCACAAATGTCTTCAGAAACTTGTAATTTAACTAAACTTTGATAGAATTTGGGAATTTTTTGCTCATTGAATTTGCCATGTCTTTGGAGAGTAGTTCTTGAGTTTGTTCTGCTGAGCAGATGTATAGATACAGTAAAAACAAAGTTTTAAACAGCTATAATAAAAAGAATTATCTTTAAATTTATAAAAAAATCTATTTTTTTTTTTTGAAATTTTTGCTTTATAATATATCACAAATTGGCAATGGCAATTCTTCACACTTTGAAGTTATGAGTCAAAAACAACTCTGAGACTAAAATAAACCTGTTTTTTCCACAGTAACTTTACGCACTTTCAAGTGGTAGAGGCGTCTCAAGCTGCTTTTTAAAGCCAGGAAGAGTGGCTAATAGACCGCAGCGTGTTTTGGTCACTGAAGATTTATTTAAAAAGTTATATTTTACTCTAAAAGGTTAACAATGTTTTGTTCTACGGTATCTTGAAAAGCACTCCTTATTTCAGACTTTTCTGCTTTTCACCATCTTTCTGTCAAGTTTTTGGATTTGACATGTATTTTGGCATCACAGAAAAGTCTGAGAGTTTACTGCTGAATGCAAGCTTCTCTTAGAGCTGTTATAGCCTGGTCAGTTAAGAGAATTACAGCATAAGATGTTAAAGCAAAAGCGACAAATTGAGCTTATACTTGCTTGTACAACTAGAATTCCGAAGA